TCCAACCTTTCCGCATGCCTCGAGGCATGTCCCTTCGTCCGTTGCGTGTGCATCCCGTGCGCCCGGCCTTTCCGCGCGCGCACGCACCGACCCCGCGCCACGCAAGCCACCCGCACACTCCGCTTGCACACCTGCGTGCAGCGTACCCTTGCCCGTTTCTCGCGCGCTCCCCTCAAGTATGCGTACTTCTGCCGTCGCTCGTGCTTGTCTTCTGCGCGCATGGTAAGCCCGACTTGCGGCGTTGAGCTGCCTAGCCACTTCCGCATCACACTCTCTCCCAGCGCGCCGCGAGAGATCCGCCGCGCCGTGAAGCTTCGACCACAACTCACTCAGATCACCCTTGTCGCGCCTTCACTCACCTACCACGCCGTGTTGAGAAAACCTCCGCGCCGCGCAGCCTGACTTCCACGCCGCGGGACCAACTCCTTTCACGCCGCGAAGCTCCCTCACGGCGCGACCCCTCCGCTGTTGCAAATTTTTCCGGCGCCCAGATTTTTTCGCCTTCTGCGGCCGCGAGCTCCCTCCTTCACCGCGGCCGCGGTGACCAAAACCTTCCCAGCTTTTTCCGACTTCAGAGAAGAAATTCCGCGGCCTCGGAGAGCATTCACGGACGCAAGATTTCCTTCACCGCGACCACCAGATAAGTCGCGGCCGCGGACTTTATGCTGAGCAGATTTTTAGTTTATGATTTGCGGGACTCGTTGAATGATCAGAGGATTATTCAGCCCAGGTTATATATTTTCGTCCTTAGTTTTAAAAACTGTTCTTTTTACTCTTCTCTTTTAATAATTCGGGACGGAAAACACGGATTGGATTTTGGATTTTGCTATTTCTTTCGGATTAATCTTGTTTACCGGATTATTTCTCGATCTCCATTAATCGTAAGTTTTCTATACATTTAGTCTATGAATATGATTGCTTGGATTATGGATGTTTGTGTTAATTATCCGATCATGAGTAGCTAAATTAATCTGCTAGGGAATAGGGGATGATGTTTTCATTTCGTTTGTGCTTTCCGGGCTTGAGATTGTTCAATTTGTGCGAGTCTTTTTTTAACTAGGGTTTTTCGATTATCAGGCTCGAGTTTTGCGAATTGTTGAAGGGTGACACTTCAACTTCCAATTATTTTAATTGAGTTCGTTTAATTCATGCATGATTTTTTTTTATAAAATTCTAAATGACTAGTTGACTAATCACCTTCTAGTCTTCTTTAATCGACTTCTTGAACCGAAAGGGGAGGAGTCGGTCGAAATAGGCTCGTATGAACTAGGCTTGTTCGTAGCTGTATTGCATAGGCGTTAATTGAATTGTTAATTTGTCGTTTAAGCTTGTTCTCTTGTTACGAAAAGTTATTGAGAATGAAAACTTGAACGATAGGTTATTCAAATCCTTTAACCGAACAATTACTTGCCCATCAATTGCATTCTCGAGTCAAAACGGATATCCCCGACTCCCTAGCTCGTTTAATCCTAATTGTTCTTTGTATTTGCTTGCTACTTTTACTGTTTAATTTAATTATTTGCAGTAGTTGATAATTAAAAACCAATCCAATTATTTGAACTAGAATGTTTAGGAATTTTATTTCTTTTATTTCTTTTTGTGTTCTTGAATAAACGTGCATTATATTCCGGCTAACCTTCCTCGTGAGACACGACCCGGTGCTCGAATCTTTCGATTCTGCTCCGGAAAATATTTACAACAATGATATAGCCATACTTGGATATACCGATTATAGAAGGCTCGACCGGATGCAAAGACGAGTTATCTGAGTCGAGTCGAGTCGCGAAAGCAGTTCATATGGGAGCTCGTCTCGACACCTGACATTAGTAAAGATCGAACAAGTCGATATTAGCTACCATCGTTAAAGGAAGCATCTTGAAGTCTACTTCAAAGCCCTCACAGCTCGATGTCGACTCTCTATGTCATCACAACAGAAAGAGTCGATATCCACAAGACGACTTTCCGTATCACCATGAAAGAGGAAGTCGACATCTATAAGTCGACTTCCTTAACTGCCTAACTCGAGGTCGACTTACTTCGCTGAGAAGACGAACGATTCAAAATTGTGGTTGAACCTCTTGGTATATTTCATCCATATGTTGTCTCCTAGTCGACTTCTTGCTATTCGAAGTTGACTCGGTATACTTCGAGGGTCGATGTGCACACGACTAGGGATGCTATATATTTAGCAGGCTTAACGGATAAGAATGAATCTTTATCGAATGAGATAGAATATTAAGCTGACTCAGACCTGAATAAGAGGTGATTAGAACACAAATAAACCGGGTATATAAGCCGGTCGAATAGGGGCATTCTGGGCATTTCAAGCAGGTATCTTCTTCTATAAAAAGGGTTGAGGTAACATCAAACCCTAATTTTAACACACTCTGCACATTTTCATATGCTGGTGCTGTTGCTGCAGCTCCCTGCAACTAATCTTCTCCCTTCTTGTTACTAACTTAAGCATCGTAGGCTCTACGCTGGAGTCCCCTCTAGTGTTGAGTGCTTGCAGGTGTCGAAGGCGATTTAAAGGCGGTTCAGACAAATTGGAGCTCATATCAATCGGTTCACTTCAGATCTAGGAGGAGACTCATCATTTTAGCGTTGTTTGTGGGGAGTTCTTGAAGGAAATAAGAGCTTTGCACCTAGATCCGATTGTCTGAGATGGCTGAAAAGGAAGGTTTGCAGAGGAACTTGAATGAGGAGTTTAGAGGAGCATAGACGGATAGGAGTCCTTGTGACACCCCGCTTGTAAAATCAGAGTAAAATTTTCGTTTTTCATAATAATACTTGCATATCTATCAAAATCATTTTTTTGCTTATCTCGGGATGTTACCATTTCTTTCCTAAAAGGGCCATATTAAGGACTCCCATTGGTGATTGGAAGATCAAAGAGAGATGTCTTTAACTTTGTTTGTGAGGAATCGAAAAACATAATCTCAAACTGGAAGTTTCAATTTTTATCTCAAGCAGAAAAAGGAAGTTTTGTTAAAATCTGTGGTTAATGCTTTGTCTGTATATGTAATGTCTTATTTTTTACTATCTAAAGGTACTTTGAACCATCTGGGGTGCTTAGCTTTTAGGTTTTGGTGGGGGTGTAATGAACAAGGGAATAGTAAAATTCACTGGCTCAATTGGGATCATTTGTCTCAGTCAAAGGAGGAAGGAGGTTTGGGTTTTAAAAATCTTCATGTTTTTAACTTGGCTCTTTTAACCAAGCAACTATGGAGATTATTCTCAATTCCAAGGAGTATGGTGAGCAGGATTTTCATGGCAAAATATATTCAGAAAAGGGGGTGGGAGGATATTGCAGCTAAGAAGGATAGCTCATGGGTTGGGAAAAGTTGGTGTAAAGCAGCATGAGTGCTTAAGGCTGGGTTGAGAATTTGAATTGGGAATGTGAAAACGACAAGAATTTGGGATCAACCTTGGATCCCTTCGAATCCTTTTTTCAAATTGCGAGGGTTTAATGTGGATCATTATGGGCTCACTTGGGTGAATCAGTTGATGGATATTGAAAGGATTATTGAAAATGTTTTTTTCTGAAGAAGATTCAAAGGCCATATTAAGTATTCCTCTCTTGCATTTACATTGTTCTGACTCCATGTTTTGGCACTTGGAAGCGGATGGTAAATTTACTGTGAAATCTGCATATAATCATATCATGCAGGTTCAAAAATATTTGAAAGACAAGCCGGAAACTAGCTTAAAGCAGAAGGAGCAGAAGAAAATGTGGAAAGTGACTTGGGCTCTAAAGGTAAAAAATAAACTCAAACATTTTCTTTGGAGAGCCTTGAAGAATATATTGCGTACTACTGTGAATCTGTGGAAGAGAAAATCGAAAACAGATTTTGTTTGCGAGCATTGTGGAGAAGCCACGGAGACTTTGGAGCACGTTTTCTTTGACTGTAAAAGAGCCAAGGTGGTGTGGAAGTTTGCACCTATTAATTAGGAGGGCTGCAAGGAAAGAGAAAAAGATTTTGTAGATTGGTGGCTTAAAATCTGTCAAGGGAAAAAATTCAAAAACTTCTCGGACATAATGCATTTAACTGTTTATTTGTTGTTGTGGATTTGGAAGGCACGGAACATCACTATTTTTGGAAAAAAAAAAAGTATTGTCTCCCAAAGACATTGTAGATGGGGCAGTTAAGGAATGATTGGATTTTTCTGAAGTGTCTACTCTAGTTATTTCAGGCTGAAGTAATCTTAGTTTCGTTTGGAGGAAATGTGAAGTCTAGTGACCCGAGTGGGCTTCCAGTAGATCTCGTTTTCTTCAGTTTTTGTAGCTGCTGGAAAGGCGTTCGCTTGGTATTGCCTTTTATGTTCGGGAAATTTTTAAGTTTCCTACAAGAAATAAAAAATATTGTAAAAATACCATC